AAAAAAAAAAAAGGAAAAAGAAAGAAAGAAGGCTTGCAGTCGCAGCAGATTCAGCGTCATGTCTGCTAGGAAGATTGTTGCCAATACGCCATTATACAGAAGCTGTATGTTGGAAACACGTTCAGTGGTCGACTGGAAAACGTCAGCTACATTGATATGCGTTGCACATAAGTTCTTGATAAGTTATACATAAGTCATTCTGTCTAGCTTATCCAAAGCCAATGAGGAACTTGTGCATAAATTAAGATTAACTTACACTTAACTTATGTCAACGATCAAATTACAAACCTGTAAATTATGCCCCATGTATCAGCATACGCTGAGATACATTGACGTAAATAAAGTAAATTGAAATGAAATAAGTGGTGATTTCTCATTGAAAACCAGGGAGGACAGCTCTACCTGAGGAATGGTTACAAACCTGAAAGATATTCAACATTTAATATAAGCCTACTAATAATTTTAATCAAACAGGCTACCTCTAATATATATCTCTACGAAAACTTATTTCCTTTTTGCTAATTGATGGGAAATCAGGTGGACCACCTTCCACAACAGGTGGATTTTTCATTCTATAAGGAAACTATGTTTGGATTTCAGCAAATCCAAACATAGTTTCATAAATGAAGTGAAACCTTGTAAACGTTTTAATGATTATAGTATTTTATTGCCTGGGGGGGGGCATCACAGTAAGGCTTCTAACAACAGTAATATTAATTTGTGAATGTTGTTGCATGAGAAATACTAATTTCAAACAAAAACTTATTTTCCTATCAAACAGAGGAAATGGTTCCAGTTCCTGAGCCGCATCCCATCACATTTTATCGACAGATGCTTCAGTCAAACTTCCAGGACAAGTTCATGTGCGCACAGGAGGGTTGGGCTGAAGATAAACAACGCCTGGTGGATATCTATACAGAAGTCTACATCACTGCTGGGTGTGATGTACACATCAACACACAACATGAGGTCAGACAGATTGAGAACCCATTAAAGCCAGCAGAAGAAACACGAGTGAAACCCAGAGACATGTTTAATCATCCTTCAGGAGAGTACCAGCCCATAAAAACCATACTGACCAATGGAATAGCAGGAATTGGGAAAACCTTCCTCGTGCACAAGTTTGTGTTGGACTGGGCTGAAAAAAAATCCAATCAAAACATAGATCTTATTTTCCCCTTCACCTTCCGTCAGCTAAATCCACTAAGAGCAGAAAAATTCAGTTTAGCGCAGCTCATCCATGAATGTATCCCAGAAACTGTAGATATCAAAAAGGAGGCTCTAAATTACATCTTTAAAACGCTGCAGTCTTCTGGAAACAGCAACTATGACAAAAGTAGATTTAAACTACTGTTTGTGTTTGATGGACTGGATGAGAGCCGACTTCATTTGGATCTTCACATGAAAGACAGTAGATCCAACGATGTAAAAAAGAAAACCACACCAGATGTTCTGTTGAGGAAACTCATCAATGGGAAACTTCTTCGCTCTGCTCGAATCTGGATAACTTCGAGACCAGCAGCAGCCAGTCAGATTCCCAGGCAGTTTGTTAGCAGCGTGAATGAGGTCAGAGGGTTCACTGACCTTCAAAAAGAGACGTACTTTAGGAAACGGTTCAGAGATGAAAAGCGGGCCAACAAGATCATTTCCCACATCAAGGGATCACAAAGTCTCCACATCATGTGCCACATTCCAGTCTTCTGCTGGATCACAGCTACCGTTCTGGAGGATATGATAAAAACCAGAGGCACTGGAGATCTCCCCAAGAGCCTGACTGAGATGTATACAGAGTTCCTGGTGTTTCAGATGGATCACACTAAAGAGAAATATGGCTCTGAGATGTCTATTCAGTCCATCAAATCCTTAGCAAAGCTTGCTTATCATCAGCTGGAGAAGGGCAACCTGATCTTCTATGAGAAGGATCTTATTGAGACCAGTGTTGATTTGAAAGAAGCCTCAGTGATCTCAGGAGTTTTCACAGAGATCTTCAAAGAAGTACGTGGCAGGAAAGATAAAGAAAAGATGTTTAGCTTTGTCCATCTGAGCGTTCAGGAGTTTCTGGCTGCTGTTTATGTAAGAATGTCTCTTAGCAACAGCTACAAACATTTATTTTTACCCCAGAGGTCCAAAAAAATGCATTCTGTCCCAAAAACAAGAGCTTCCAAAACCAACCAAGTTCATATCGACAAAGCCTTGCAGTCTCCAAACGGACACTTGGACTTGTTCCTCCGCTTCTTTCTGGGTCTTTCGTTGCGGACAAATCAAGATAAACTTAAGGAACTGATGGTAAAACCCTGGAGCAGCTCAGAAACCAGCCAAGAAACAGTCCAGTACATCAAGAAAAAGATTGGTGAAAATCTTTCTCTAGAGAAAAGTCTCAATCTGTTCCACTGTCTGAATGAACTGAATGATCATTCTCTTGTAAATGACATTCAACAGTACCTGAGTTCAGGAAGTCTCTCCACTGATAAACTATCTGCTGTCCAGTGGTCAGCTCTGACTTTCATACTGCTATCATCAAAAGAACATCTGGAAGTCTTTGACTTAAAAAAGTACTCAGCTTCAGAGGAGGCTCTTATTAGACTTCTGACAGTGGTCAAAGCCTCAAATAGAGCTCTGTAAGTATATATTTATATATATATTTATGTTTCTTGCTGGACTTCACATAATGCAAAATATAGATCTATTATTAATAGGGCGGCAACAACGAATCGATAAAATCGATAAAAATCGACTTTTAAAAGCGTTGGCAACGAATTTCATCATCGATTAGTTGTGTCGCGCGATTAATG